CCCCCCAGGGCAGTGCTACTGACTGAAGTGTCTTTAGGCCATTCCAAAAGGGAGATATTAACATGTTCTTATGCACAGTTGAATAGTAAATGGGTTGATTTATAAATGTCATGCTCATACTGTGCCGGGACAACATAGGGGGAACTGCTGCATTTTCTTTCCTCATCCTTACTATCGCCATTTTGCCTCTACTTCATTGTATATTTGTCACTCTCTTGTGAACGGATATTTCCGGGGTGCCTTGATAGTCGAAGCAGACTTTGTGCTATTGAGGCTAGAGAGGTGAGCAGAGGAAGCCTGATTTCCCCGTTTGGACTTCTCTGTTGACATCCACCCCTTGGCACTCATATGACCTCATGCAGTTGCGAGCGCCATAAAACCTTACTAAAAAAAAAACGTGTTCTTACGCACCTTCTCCAGGGCATATTCTTTGCTGGCCTGCGAGCTGATGCCCATGAGTTCATCCAGAAACTTCTCCAGACCCATCTGCAAGACCTCGTGGAGTGGTGTCTCCTCACTGGGCTGCATGTTGAAACCCACCTGTGAGAGCATATACAGAGAAAGATTAACAGGTGGGTGGGTGGTTGGCAGGTGCTCTGGTGTGGTTTGCTTCTTCTTTCCAATCAAACATCTATCATGATTATCCCTACTTCTTTTTTTTTTTGTATGGACTTACACTTCTAATATTCAGCACTTATATGACCTATTTGTTTTGTGTCATAAAACTCGTCCTAAAACTAAAACTAACTAAAGATTAACTCCTTATCTTAGACAAGCTGCTCACTTGTTTTGATTTAAAGACCAACTTAGTGATGTTTATGTAAATTTTAGATTTTGTTCATAAAATAACTAAACCAATCAAGCAATGCTCTTTTGTGGCTTCATTATACATAAAAGTCTATGATGAAATTGGCCCGAAATACAACTTCCAGCAACTTGGTCAGCTATTTAGAGCACAGAAAAGTTGTCTCACAGTTTGTATTTGGCTCAGGATTACACATGTTTTGGGGAAAGTATGATCGCTAAAGAAGAGGAGGAAAAATTCCATACATTTGGAATGCTGGAAAAAAAGCACCCCATCTATGAAACTTAAAACAATGGGTGAAAGGGCATTTGAATATCAAGGCCCCAAAATCTGAAATGCTTTGTCAAGTAGTTTAAGAGAGATCAAATCCTTTGATTCATTCAAATATCAGCTGAAGTACTTTCTGTTTTTAAATTGATAAGATAAATATTTAGAGATATTTTCTTTTGGTCAGAACACAAAATTTTATGTTACTGTTGTATTGTATTGCAAAGCGCTTGGAGCGTGTGTACTTTAATCGGGATTGAGCGCCAAATAAATGTCATTTAACATTATTAAGTAAAGCAAGTCTCCCAACAAGAAATTTCAACTCACCTTCTCACTCATCATGCTCCAGTGTCTCTCCTTGATGCCTGGGTTACACAGTGCTGTAATGAGTGGCATGTTGATCTTAAACTTCTCAAGTTTGGCCTTGATGGTGGCCGACGCTCTCATGGGGCCTTTGAAGTCAGGATGAGCAAACACTTTGGTCAGCTTGTAGGCAGTACGCCAAAGATTTTGCACCTGGATGAGCAAAGATATCATAAATTACATTAAGTGCATAGAAAGTGGTTACATTTAATGGCAATGTGACATGCAAAATGCAAAAATTAAATCAACTGTTGAGTTCTTCATCACTTCCCTTTAATTGTCTCCAGCTAAAGGAAATGATGCTTGAGTCAAGACTGTTCAACTGTTGGAGCAACTCACTTTTCCCAAATATGACCTACTTTATTTTTTTTAAATTTGGCCCCTCACCAATATACATAAATTTGTAAATAGAGGTACCTTCCCATAACATCTCACTGTATAAGTGGCAGTCCAATTAAAGAAAGCATCAAGGGAGCATAGGCACCCAAGTCCTGTAGGTTTAGGGTTCTGGAAGCCAGAAGTGAATGCGTCCACACATTCTATAAATTTACTTTTTAACATTGCCTTAATTACACTGGTAGGCAGGTGGGCATTAACAAGAATCTTACACCCTCCTCCACATCCTCAGCATTGACTTCCAGCAGAGGACCATTCATCCACTTGTCATGAGCCTGGTGGAAAGTGACCGCTGTTGACCAGAGTTTGTCGTAAGGCTCCTTGCGCACTTCCAGCTCATCAATCTGTTTGTACTCCATCTGTGTCTCCAGACCAAGCATCTGCTCCTCTCTGTTGATCTTCATTTTCTACAATTAAATAAAAACGGGAATCAGTGTCACACATTTGGGAGTATCCCATCTTTATCCCATAGATTTAGTAAAATTTTGAAAGCTAGATTGTTAAAATTTTTATCAAGTTGATTCGAAAACGCATTCGTTCCAGATTTATAGTAATAATGTCCTGTCATTTGTTTCAGTTTTGAGTTTGTTATGCATAGCTACAAAAAATCCAAAAGGTATGAAACTATTGCAGACAAACTTTCTGGTGTTAGGACTATCTCTTTATGACAGGACTACAATAAATCAAGCTCTTGTAAAGATTTCACTAGAATGTGGCTGACCCATTGAAAAATTTCTCAGAAAAAGAAACTGTATTTTTATACTTTCATTAATGAAATAGTAGTGAAAGTTAACTTCTCTTTGAGTAGAATGCTATTTCATTGGTCTTTCTCTTCAGTCTCGGCACATCATCATCATCATCACCTTCATCATCATTATTCGCCTTTTTCTCCCTAGTGTTGGGTATAGGCTGTCAAAGAGAGCTTTGTCACTGCATATAATGATAGCTTTTTTCAAGGAACAAAACTGTGATAAAAGCAATTTTAACAAACAGAAGAAAAAGCAGACCCCTACCGGAGCACCCACCAACCACGCACTGAGCCCATTGCATTGATAGAAAAGCCAAACAGCACAGACAGCAAGTCTGTGAATGATAGACAGATGCTCACCTCTTCCCTGAACTCCTCAATCTTGGCAGTCATGTCATCAAGTTCACCCATGTACTTGTCGGCCTCCGACATGCGGTCCTTGCTGCCAAACTCTTTGATCTTCTGAAGGTTGTCCTCCAGCGTCTTCTCAAACCTCCTCTTCCATTCTTTGAGTTTGTTGCAGGCGATATCATGCTCCTTCTGCAGCTTGTTTTCTCTGTTTGATTTAAGAAAAATCTTCCCTATTTTGATCCTAATTCATACAATAAACCTTCAAGCTTATGATAATATGGTACTTTTATTTTGCTAAGTTTAAAAAACTGGATTGGTAAATGTTTACTACACTACTCTTGAAGCTTGAGTCTCATATTCACCCTTCTATTTAATCATATTTTCCACCTGTTCACTGTACCCCCTCCCTCCCTCTCTCTCTTTCTCTCTAATATCAGTCATTAATTTTTCATTGTTAAGTTTATCCCATATATTGCTCCAGCCTACTATTACTTCTATAAAAACCATAGCCTAAATCTGGAAAGGTTTCCAAAACCACAAAGGATCCAAGCACAAAAAAGGACCCAGGGCCACTGAGAAGTAAAGAGTTTTGGAATAAAAATGAAATATAAAGATTATCAGACTCACGCATTGCGCACAATGGGGATGATTCTGTCTGGCCAAGTGAAGGTCGTGTTGTTCACAGTGACATCTTCCTTGGACAAGTAGGCATACTCCATGAGGAACATCATATTGCCGGCAGCTATCTCCAGTTTGTCCTAATTAAAGTTTTAGTAAGAGTTTTACGGCACTTGCAACACAATAAGGTCATATAAGTGCCCAAGATTAGAGGTGTTACAAGAGAGTAACAAACATAAAAATGAAGGAGGGAAGATAAAGACGATAGTTGTTTGATAGGAAAGAAGGAGCAAACCACACCAGAGCACCCGCCAACCACTCACAGTTTGTCCTAGAATACAGATTATCATACAAACAGCATTAGAATGAACGCAATGGCAATTACAGAAAAATAGGAGGGGTTACTTTTCTAAAACTAAAATATAGTCAAACCTACTCTGACCGCTTAGTGTCCAAGACAATCAGCTCAACAACTGACCACTTCCCACTTGCCCCTTTGCATTTTTTGGTATACATTATAATGATACTGTCCAAGATGCCCACCTGTCTAAAACAATAACACTTCTTCTAAACAATGGGTGGACGTCTTGGACAATTTCAACTGTATAGCTCGATTTAATAATATAACCCAAAAATAGAAAGTAAGACATAATTCAAGTCTTACATTTTTACAAATGTACTTTGAGATAATTAATAGGCAGGATTTCCAAATAAATGCTTGTTTGGCAGCCTGTAAAATAAAACTAAAGTGATCATCTTGTGACCAAAATGAGAAAACATATTGACACTATCATAACCAAACCTTAAGAGAAAATTCTTTTCACTGAATAGTTTGTTCTCTTATTCTGAAATAAAAACACAAATAAAAGAGAAAATTCTTTTCACAGAATATTTTTCTCTCTTATTCTAAAAATATATATATAAATATATACATCCATGTAGAGTGTACTAATAAGTAAATCAGGTTGGCAGTCAATTCGTATAAAATCTGCCCACTAATAAGTCTGGCACTTCTTCCTTATCCGGTCATGAAAATAAACATGTCTTACCCGAACACCTGAGTCGAGTTCAAATCAATGCTCAAAGTAGCATTACAATCCATTCCTCCCCATCTTCACCAAACCTTCCACATTGCTGAGCATCGACCTATTTGTCCATTCATCCACTCTTCCTGCCTTCAACCATCAGTAGGCCTACTTAAATATCATTCTTTCCTAATCCAATGCACTCACCAGTAACTGCAGCATTTCTCCAACTTTGAGATTCTCAACATACTCCTGCAGCTCCACAAGTTCCCGGGTGTTCTCTGCTTGATATGAACTCTTCTTCACAATGGTATCATACTGAGCACAAATCTGCCGGTTGAATTTGTTGCTTGTCTCCATTATTTTGCGCACCATTGTGGCAATATGCTTTCTTGCTGTGTCAATGAGCCACTGAAATGGAGTGAAGTAAAAAAAGCTTAAGTTTTAAAATGTGTTCAAAGTATCAGATGCTGAGCAGCTCTATATGTAAGCAGTGAATTGACTCACTACTGTACTATTGTCAAGTATTTATCTACTTAGTTTTGTAGCCATTATCAAAAGACAAAAATTAGTATGATATTGACTGCAAGCAGCATCTCAACAATTTCAAGAGAATAGGGTATCTGTACCTTCTTTAAACCTTTTAAAAGTTAACTGGTACACCGATCCCAAGAGTAAAAAACAGGTAAAAGTCCTATTAAATATTAACAGCTTCAAGCACATTTTTCTTTGCTCCGATCAGCATTAAAATTTGTTCCTGTTCGCCAATACGCAATGAGCCAGAGATGCACATCTGACTGGAAAATGACATTGTGCAAACACTACTTTTTTAAAAGTAGGTTATTAGGTCTATGCTTAATGTCATAAAATTCCATAGACCAACAAAAACTTTAACATTCCACTCGCAGTATCCACAACAACTTTGAAATCATCACAAATGTTCAATGTACTCAATTCTTGTAAGTAATACAGAGCAATGAGCATTAAAAAAGTGCCAGTCAAGACTTTGGCATTTGTGGTACAAGTGTAAAACTAGTTAGGCCTACTGTACTGTTTTTTTGTGAGGGTACATGAGCTCATGCATATTAACAAACTGATACTGACCTTCACCACAACAAAAGAGAACAAATTTTGTCATATCCTTTGTAGACCATTGCTCACCCTTGTTGTACCATGTAAATGCTCTATAACAGACTAGAACAAACTTTTAACATTTTTAAAATCCTGACCCTGCAATTCCTTTAACACTTACAGTACTGAAGGCTCATATAGTGAAAAACCCTCTAATACCGCACCAGTTTAGAATGCTGAAGCCCTGGTAGAATCTTTTTTTAATTTTTAAAAAACCTTGGCAACCCCAAAATTCATAGAGGTTCATCAACCATTCAACTATCATACAGAGTGACGTCCTTTGGTATTCACTTCAGTGCGGTACGTTCGTTCGTTGTTTAATTATGTTCAGTGTGCCTGGTCGCATCGGCGACTTAACTGATTCCATCCATGATTTTTTCAGGCTCAGGACAGAATCATTTTTCCCTGTTCTTTCTTGTCTCCAGATATTTCTGGGGTGCCTTGAAAGTCGAAACAGATTTTGCGCTGTTGAAGCTAGAGAGATGAACAAAGTAAGCCTGATACCCTGTAAAGATTTCTCTGTTGACATCCACCCCTTGGCGTTCATATGACCTTAAGCAGTTGCAAGTGCCATAAAACCTCTACTAAAACTAAGACCGTCAGGGGGAACAGAAACATTGCGGTAGACCGTCAAGTGGACTGGCACCAAAAATATTTTGGTAGTTTGAATCCTACAAAACTATATCCGACAAACCATCATCATTTACAGGATGAAGGTGGGGGGGCGGTGCGCTGATTATAACTTCAATTACATTTTGAATTCCATGAATAATTCACGTACGATAAAACCGTTATTACTATTTCCCCTCGGGGCATCATTGTTGCAATAATCTGTATGACTACAGGAAAGCAAATTAAAATCTGAAATAACGTTGTTTTCGTCTTTGGTTCTTTTTAAAAATGATTATGTCTGTAAGGCTATTAAGTGAGCGTGATCTGTACAATGTCCATCGACTTTGCTAAAACCATGATTACTATAATATAGCCTGTAACTAGGAATAGACGCTCATAAAACTCCCACCACACTACTACTATTGCTTGTGTGCATTAATGTATCTGCCAAAGTAATAGTGATAATTATTATTGTAATAATAATAATAATAATAATAATG